GGCATCGCTATTTGCAAGGAGGTTTGGGACCGGGGTCGCTGTCAAAGACAAGCCTGCTGTCCATAACTGCATCATCAATAGTGAGCTTGACCTTGTTATGGCCATGTGCCGCCGTGCCTTGGCCTACGATCTAGTTGGCATCTTGAGTTATGATGTGGCCAATCGTTATTACCAAGCATTGGTGCAGCGTCTTCAGGACGCCCTTCCACCGGAGTACGCGAAGGTGTCCATTGCACAGGTCCTTCGCACTGACCGTGCGGCTTTCCTCAACTCAAGCTGGCGGAGACAGTCACGACATTGAGGCGGAGCGGGGGAGGTGCAACTGCCGAACATTCTTTTGGACCCGAGTGTCGCTTATCATTTGCTGCCTTTACCCCCCGGGGCTAGCTTTTATGGCTAGGGCTGCATTGGCCCAGTGTTAGCCCTCAACCCCGAATTTTAAATCCGAAGCCAAAAAACGCCTTAAACCCCAAGTTCTAAATCCGAAGCCCGACACACCCTGAACTTTGAGTTGAACCCTACGCCATAATAACCCTAAATACAGCAAAACGGTCGGCTGCCGGGGGCTCTTGGGGCGCACCCTCGCCGGGTGGGCCCGGAACTTGAAAAAATTGAGGTGCGGCATGGTGTTTAAGATCCATGCGTTTGGAGCCTCAAATGACGGCAATTTCGAAATCGACCCATTTTGTACGCCTGCCCTGCAGACCACGATTTGAGGCTCCCCCAGCAACCACTAGGCTTCCCTTTTGGGCAGAACCTCTTTAGTGCGAGTAATGTGCTTCAGTTTGCAACTTTGCAGAATAGAACCACCAGGTCTCTCAACTTTGTTTTAGCCTGTCGCGTAGGGGTTTCTAAGACGGGTGGCAGAGTATCGTTCTCAGACTGTCGTTTTTGCAGACGGAACCACTCGGGGGCCACTTAGGCCCGGAGAAGCAATGTTGCGGCCAGTCTAGTTTCAGGCTGCACGAACGGGTCAAGATCACACAATTGGTGCAAAACTGGGCAAGAGTTGGGGTGTCCGACTTGCGCGACTCAACCGTGAAAAGGAACAATGAATTTGTCAAGACAAACGACGCGAAGTAAAAGCATTTGTAGCGAAGCAGTAACCGTTTGTTTAAAGGGGATTGTACTAGAGACGAAATAGGAAAGATTGGGTGGTAGAAATTCCAGAATCTTGTTGCAAAGATTTGATTGATAATCACAGCTAGAGGAACAATTTGAAGCAGCAGACATCAGTTTGCGAGAACGGTCGACGTAAAAAGATGCAACAGATGCCCAGAAGAGTCAGCACTTACTTGCGGACGTTCTTCATTGGAGTGTTTTTCCCGGACCCCTTAAAAGAATACGCGGTTTTGTGTCGGTTGCCCAATAAGCAATGTGGGTGATGGTTTTCACCGTTGAACCTTGCGAAAGGATCGCTCTAAGTCAAGAAAAAATGCTCCAACTTGCCCAAGATACCCATTATGTGCATCAATCACACCAACATCCGCCCCCTTAAAACAATGCCCCAGCAGTCTTGGGATAGTGCAGGTCGAGATTTTTTTAGCATTGAAGATGTGTTTCGCAAACAGGGTGTTCATAGCTGACCGATGGTGCCGCCGAGTTAGATGCAAGAAGATCATTGAAAAACGAGTTTGGGCGTGAAGACTTGCCTCGTTGCGGGCGTTGCATGGCGGGGATTACAGTTGGTTGAATTTTTTGCCATGGCTTGAACGTAACGGTAAACGTGTGTACAGAAGCTTGAGAGGTAAAACTTTCCGTTGATGGAGGTGCCTGTGTGTAAGTTCCTGAAGGATATGAAAGAGCATAAGTTTCTAGTCGAGCTTTTACACGAGTACTCTATTGGTGACGGGTTCTTGGACTCAGAAGCTGCACCCTGGTCGTGAAGGCATTTAAACTCCATTGACAGGACTCCATAGATTAGAAGCAGCTCCAATCTTCCAAGTTCAAAGAGCAGTGAACATCGTTTCCTACATCGAGCAGATTGCCTTGTAAATGCGGGTTGCTTCGTTCATTCTGCAATGGTTCATCGGGGGTGCCGTGTGGGACTGGCTGCAAGCGCAAGCTGTCATGAGTGAAGCAATGGCTTCTTTGGGTGCTTGGGTGCTGTGGCAGTTCTGTGCAGGATTTTCATGGCGAGCTTCCCCGCTGGCATTCGCAGCGTGCTTGAATCAAGAGTCCTGCACGTCAGCTTGTTTTGAACCGGAATCAGTAAACACGGACAAAAGCAAGCCTGCATTTCAATGCATCGCGTTATTGCAGACGCTGCTTGCCAGCTTTGAGTGACAGTCACGTATTTTTGACGCAGGAATGCGACAGCAACTCCTGCATAAATGACAGGACTTGGATTGTTCCAAGTGGTCAGATTTGAGACTGGAGATCTGCAAAACCCAGCCATGGATCTAGTCGAATTCAGCACTGTTCAAGTCTCAATTAGAGCTTGCTCTGTTTCGACTGACTGATACGGCGGTACAGAGTGGGCAACAGCGTGACACAGAATTCGCAGAGCTGATGCAAAGCGACGCAGGTCATTTCCTGATTTGGATTGTGGCTGGCTTAGTAATGATGCATCATGGGCAGTCGTCGCATGTGGAGAGATAAGTCGTGTATGAAGTGCAGCGGTGCAATTTCAAGAGCACGCGTGTTGATGGGGTTATCTGCTTTCTTGGAAGTTTAGCAATCGAGGTACGAGCCCAAATCGATTTCATTAAGGCTGGGATGACTTCGTGACCGATCGCCGTCACTTCGATTGGAACGACCTTCGATTGCAGGCAGCTTCTGGTTTCGCTGTCTGGTGACCACCTTCCCTGATCCAACCTGCAAAAAGCTAGGGTGGTCTGCATTAAAATATGACCAGAAGGAGCAGCCTAAACCCTCAACCGGCAACCCTAAACCCTAAACCTCGAAGGCAGAGACTAGCGACCTCGGGTCTTGGCAGAGCCTGGTGCGACAGCGCCTACACTACATTGACTTTGTTGCGGCCAGGTACCCAGACCCGATTTTAGCACAGAATCCACGGGTCTGCTTTCGTGCAGACGCTGCAGTTGAGGAGTAAACTTGGATCTGGGGAGCCTAGCTGCCTAGCTGTGGCATGTTCAGGACGTGTGATGTGTTTCGCTTGGCGCCGTTGCCAAAGCACCATGACCACGGCTGCGTTCCGGCTTGCTCGCAACATGTGCGGACAGAGCTTCGGGGAGAGAGTCAAATCAACTCAGAAGCCCAAGCAAACTCGGGTCAGCTGCGGTTTGCCCCAGGCTCGCGAGGTGCTTTTTGACCACAGCCTTCCCAGGTGCTCTACAGGGTTTCGGGTTCCTATTGCCAAGACTTGGGGGTGCTGCTTGTGGAGAGGGAGTTTATGACTTTACAATGCCAGCCACATGATCCAGACGTAGCCGTAGAACCTAGGTGCAGCTATGGCAGGCAAGGTACGGTGGCTTTTGCAGACGAACATTCCCCAAACTCTTCGGTGCCCGTGTTTAGAGTCCATACTTTCTGAAATCACAGGCTCCATGATGCCTCACAGAGAACCCTGAACATACCCGGCTGCCCGCTCTGAGATGCTTTCTGGGCCACCTGTTTGCTGCAGCAGTGCGCTTGGCCCTCAGCTGATCTGCCACAATTCTTACACAGAAAGAGTGGGCTTGGTCAGTCTCGGGAGTCCAGGACGGTTGACTGAAAGTTCTGCCTTAACTGTCGAGAATGAGCGTCCCGTACACGTCGAGGCATCGGCGACTGTGTGGGCGAGGCTCGTGCCTGGTCCCTGCGCTTCGGTCTTGAAAGTGCTAGTAAAGTCCACGGGGGCTGTTGTTCTACAAGTTTGAACCTTCCTACAGCTAGATGGGGAGAGCAAGTGCATGTTGTCACCGCTTATGCAGTGATGTGGCCCGAATTCTGCGAATTTATGTCGGGAGAAAGCTCAGACGGCTTTAGCCTCTTTTTGAAGGAGAGCTCGCAGTGTCCGACGTCGGAACTGGAGCTGCTCTCTGATGCCAAGCCCCCAGCAGACATCTTGCCTAGGCAAGTTGCTTGCTTCAGAACGCAGTCGAACTCAGAGTAACAACAGAAGGATCGTTTGCTGCACGCAGAGAGGTCTGTGTGCGCAGTATCCCTGCCCTGTGCCTCAAGTTTTCCTGAGCCCAGTGACCCGACCCTGAAACGAAAACTTGCGAACCTCGACAAGTACAATGTAGCATACTATATCAGAGGCTTCTATGGTATTGGTCATGGGTGAAGTACTGTTTGCAGGTGAGATGCCGGTGCAAGTCTAGGAATAACCGCTTATGTGGATGAGGTAGTTGATTACTCCCATATGTTATTGGTAATGGGGAAGTAGCAGTGATATGGTGGGTGAGATGCAGGGGGAAGTATGGGAATCATCATCGAATGGGGTGACTGATAAGATTACGCAAAACGGGCCAGGGTTCTGCTAACTGAAACACAGTCCCAAGGTTCTTGCGGAACATAGGCATGAACAGATGGGCGGAGAGTCCTGTACAACAAGCAAGACTTGCAACCATCAGCATGAATTCTCAGCTGAACCCAGCCGACAGGTTCTGTTTTTCTCTAGCACAAGCCGCAATGTAGTTCAGTCGAACCGGATCGAACCCAAACTAGTCTGGTCGCCTCAGGTCCAACCACTTCCAAGCCAGGCCATGCGACACGAATCTAATTTAACCCTTCCTGATATCTGCTTCTACACAGAACTCCAGCACCCTCAATCTTGAATCCTCTCCGCAGAACGCATTGGAACGAGTGCCCAAAAAGACCCTGAAACCGTAAACCTCCCTAAACATCCCTAACCCTCCCTAAACCTCCCTAAACATCCCTAAACCTCCCTAAGCCTCCCTAAGCCTCCCTAAGCCCTGAGGTCATTCAGGGCACTTTCCATTCGGTGTTCTTCTCAGTGGAGCTGCTTCTGGGGACTCGATGGCCCGTCCTGGCAGCCTTGGATGCCCTGAGGCCTCTGGGGTCTCTAAGGGCTTCAGAGGCCTTGAAGACTTGCTGCGTTTCGGGCGACAGACTTCTGGGAGGGCTTTCTAGGGCTTAGGGTTGTTAGGCATGCAAGCATTGCGGGGTAGGTAGGTGCTTCAGCGAAGAAGTTAGGTTGCAAGAGAACCTGCAGAGTTCAATCGCTGATGCCAGATGGGCACCATACCAGCCATACCATCCATACCTAGACTTTGCATGGCCTGAAGCCACAATCGCGATGCCAAATGTAACAAGTAGCTACACGGCCATGCTATTCCAGCATGTGCGTATGTCTAGTCCGGCTCAGATTCTGCTCTGCCTGAGATGGGAAAAGCCACAAAAAGATCGATCTTGTGACGTCGGATCGGGGTCTCTCGGCGTAGTGACCTTGGATGCGCTATCGGTTTGGCGTGCCAGGATCCCCGAGTATCACGACGATCCGGATCTGAGCTGCGAGGGCTCTCAGGCCGCTTGGTGAGCCGCGGAGCGCCTCTTGGAGCTCCAAGGAGGTTTCGCTTTCTTTCGGGGGCCTCTTCTCCGCTCCTTTTGTTGCGCTGCAGGGGACATGAGACTTATTGAGAGCTGCGAGGGGGAGGCGTGTGTATAGGTCGTGATGGTTTTGTGTTTTGACAGGCGACCGTGATGGACTGGTCGCCTCCTCGGCACTGGAAGCCAGTCCTGTGTTCAGCATGCTGTTGATCACCTGGGACGTTGCAGCACGGGCCCACTGAAAGTCCTGTCCCATTGTCTTTGAGAGTCTTGGGCGAGGCCACGTTTGCGGCGGGCCTTTCGACCTGAAGCTGACTGGCACGCGACTGAGGTAGGCCAGGAGGTCGGACTGTGCAACACGGGAGATTTCTGGTTGACGTTTCACGTGTCTGGCGCTGGCAGGTACCACGAGGCCAAGTATTTGGTTTACAGCCGCAGCTTCCAGGCAAATTGGCTGGCCAGCATGGAGGACCTTGAATGACCCATGGTCCAAAGTGCTTCTTCCCTTCTCTCGACCGTTCGACTAGAGCCATAAATCTCAGCAGCAAATTATACGACAGCTAGCATAAACCGCAAAATCCGAAACTTCTACACGCCATAAACCCCGAGCCCTCAGGGCCAAATTTTCTCAGATAGTCGCAGGAATGCGCCTACGGCTTTGCCATGGTATCGCTGTACAAGCTTGTCATCTGTGCAGAGACGCCGCTCTCTCGACTTTTGGGTTTCGTTTGGTTTGGATTCATGCTTTTAATTTTAGGGTTCCTGTAGTTTTTTCGGGGTTGAGGCTTGAAGGTTTCGGGCTGAGGGCTTGAGGTTGTCCGTCATAGTGTTATGGTAGCGGAGTCAGCATGAGATTCTTGCACTGCTTGGTTCATCATCATCATCATCATCATCATCATCATCATCATCATCATCATCTTGGAATAGCTTTTGTTTGCCTGCATTCGGCGGTGCTGCGGCCCCTGCATGTCGGCGGGCGTTGGTTCTCGAGGGTCTTTATTTAAACTAGGGCCCAGCTTTGTCGCCCTGAAGCTCGAAGTGTGAAAATCAGCCCGGGCCCAAGGCAGGCGGAGTGCGTCAACCAGTATGCGGTGCTCATCGACAACCTCTTCCGAGCCTGTTTCTGAGTTCAATCTCAAGTCATTCTCGCAGCGGTCCTGCTAGATTATGCTAGATGTTATTGCTTCGACTTCTCCCCTGTTGTGGCACCGTTTCTTCTCAGCACTTCGCCTTCAGGTTGCTGCGCAAGCCTAGATGAAGTTCGGGGTGTGGATTTTCAGGAACAATTGACCCTAAAAGTTGCCGCGCAGAGGACAATAGCAGCAAAACCCAAGAAGGTTCAAATTGGAATAACCAGAGCAACTGTAGTGCAAGGAGAGAACAGGAAGAACAACCGAATAATAATTCACCTTACAGTACAGATCTGGTAGCGAGCTGTATCGGCATTACCAGTTTTGTTAAAGCGATAGTTTCGGTGGCATGCACTTGTAGCAACGATAGCTCTTATGACAGAGGAAGAGTGCCGGACCCAGGAGCGGGACTGGCGCGAGGTTGTTGGGAACGCCTGGCACCTGCGCTGTGCTTAGGAGGGATATGCGGCGGGTTTCAGATTGTGAGTGTGAGGTCCAACAAACTGCTAGGACTTTGCCGAGTTTCTGCCTGGCTTGTGTTGCTGTCCGATTGATCACCCCAAGTTGCAAAAGGTTCGGCTTCTTGGATCGCGTGCGACCCGCCTTGAAGCGCCACGAGTTTCGCCTGGATTTCACGCCGGCAGAGCTGCAAGGCAATCTCTTTGATTTCGACATGTCGGTGTGCTGTATTCGTAGAGGTCCCGGCAACCACCCCAGAGGCTTCAGAGTCGACTGCCGGGAATCCCCTTGTTCGTAGCGCGGCTGATCAAATTATGGTCGGCCGCTTGTGCCAGGCGACCTTCCGTCTCTTGAACTCCTCTTGGACGGCGAGTCGCCCCCCGAGGAGTTCCAGGGTCCGGCACCTGGTGTTTCAGAGACATTGAGACCACACACACTGGCTGACCGCTTCTGTCATGGATTTTCTAGTTCACCTGGCAGATTCGCAGATCTGGCAGGCGTGAAGTTGTCACCCTCATTTGCTGGCGCGGTCTCGTCCGTCCTGGCAAGCCCCGATGGCTTTGGATTTCTGGCAGTGCAAGATGGATGCCAGGGAGGGTGTGTTTCATTTCTTGTCCTGGCAATTCCAAGAATAGATTGGTCGTAGTGCTGCTCGCGTTATCAATTCATGCGACAGCTGTTGGCATTCAGAAGCTGCTAGTGGCCCGGGGTCCGTATCGGGGGTTCTTTTTCCACACATTCCCGTGGTCAAATTGCCTCACATGTTTCATTTGGGCGGATATCTCGTCGAATTAGCCGCGTGAGGAGACTGAGAAGATAGTAAAGGTACCGTAAATGGTCATTGAGTGAGTAGGCATCACATGGAGCAGCCAACCCCTCAGGGTGAAAAGTTAGCTGCGAACTGCACCAGACGTGTGGTTCGTTGCCAACAGTCTACATCAAGTATCTTTACGGCCTTTGCAATCACCACCATCGTTGCTCGTAGTCCTCCTGCTACTGCTGCCACTGCTGCAGTAATAGTGGTACGACGACGACGGCGACGACGAGGACGACGACGAGGAGGAGGACGACGACTAGACGACGACGACTGCGACGACTACGGCGACGACGACGACGACGACGACGACGGCGACTACTACTACTACTACTTCTACTACTACTATTACTACTACTACTACTCCTACTACTACTAGGAAGGAAGGAGGGAGGGAGCCAAGGAAGGAACAGCAATGGCAGTTTTCCACTGAAAGCCTGGAGGCAGATCTACCGAAGACGTACATGGCCACTTCGAAGGAGCCCACTCACTCGGGATTGGACAGGGTTTCGGGTTTATGGGCTTAGGGTTTAGGGTCGAGGATTTAGGGTTTAGGGTTTAGGACCCTTTCGTGCTCAGTCCCTTGTGGTGAGCCTTCGATGTGGAAACAGCGCGGCAGTTGGAGTCCCCTGGGTTTTGGGTTTAGGGTTGGCAAGCCAGGATTCCTTGCTGTGAGGGCCAAGGGTACCTAGAGGACCTAGAGGCTCAAACCCTAAGCCTAAAATGACCGAAGGCACTACATGCAAACCCTTGCCTTGAGGCATCACATGGCCGGTTCGGTGAGTTTGGGTTACGGCTTGCTAAACAAGAGCATGGCCGCCAAGTGTAGTAAGAACAGGAACATGATTCCAGAGTGGATGGAGTTTGGCCAAGACGCAGTCAGAAGGTCAAAAAGGGAAGAACAGAAGTGTAAATCGAGCATCGGTCTTCAGACACTAGACCTCAACCTTCGCGGAAACAGTCCTAGTAAGTGTGATCAGTGCCTTCTTCGCATGCATCGCTGAACGTCTCTTGTGCAACATTTGTGCCTTCGGCAGGACGCGGCGGGGTTAGAGGCGGACTTGGGACGGGGGGATTTGGGAATGTGCACGTTTCTGCGTTTTCGAGAAGCAGCAAGTCAGGTCTGTGGTGGGCAGTCTTGGCCACCTGTGTCAGGCTCGGCGCTTCCTGTACGTGACGATGGTGTTCGGCCAGCAGTGCACCCATTGGTGCGTGTTTTGGACATGCCCTGCACAATGGCGAGAGCCCTCCTTGACAGGTACGTTCCGTACATCCCACGCTTCGCGTCACGCGCTGAAGCACTTGGCTCGAAACTGAGAGCTTGCTGCCTCAAACGAGTCTGCACGATCACCAGTTTCAGGTTCAAGAGCATAGGGTGTCGCGTTCGAGTTTGAGTCGAAGTGGAAGGGTAAGCTTCAATTCGGCACGCACTCGTCCGCCACATTGGGCGAAGTGCTGATTGCTTAGTTTTTGGCAAGGCCTTTCGAACCTCGTCCTGTTCTGCCTGGACGAAGAGGCTCTGCAGCTGTGCCGCTCGCTGCCGCGAGCAGAGAGGTGCCGGCCCCTTCGCGGCTGAGTCAAGAGAAGCGTGATAGTGTGTATAGCCCCAAAACCCATAGTCTTGACGGTGCCTTTAGCGTGCAGCTGCTCTCCCACTTTTTTCGTGGTTCGTCCCCAAGCCAGTTGCAGGTGCATTCCTGGTACGCCCTCGATCCTCAACAAGTTTACACTGCCAGGCTCTTTTTGTTGTGGATGTTGCGCAGCCGGCACAGGGATGGGCAGCAGCCTTGAACTCCCGCAACCTGTGCTCGAAGATCCGCGCGAAACCGAGACTTTGCCCTTTCGTATCGAATGGCCAGGCTGAGGCTCTGCCTGGCTCTGCTCTCTGTGCTCTGCTCGCTTCTGGCTGAGAGCAAGGAAGCCTGTGTGGAAGGCACTCACCGAGCCCCGCCCCCGCAGAGCGCCCACAGCGCCAGCCTGGCACAGCTTTGGATTCGTCGTGCTGGGGCTTTCTGCGAGGCGGACCTTTCCGAACTGAGGACGGTGACTCTCCTCGTCCACTGCCGCCAGACACGAGAGGTCTGCGAGCTGCGGCGGCCCCTGATCCTCTCCTACAGGCCCTTCTTCCGGGAAGTCCGCTGGCTGCTTTCCTGGCCCAACTCGACTGGCCAGTTGCGAGCGGAGGAGCATCTTTGCGAGAAGCCGGGGGACCCCTACCTCTGCGTGACGAAGGTCGGAAAACAGCTGGAGAGGGAGGGAACCGCTTCCAGAGGCATCCTCTACATGCACTTCGATGCCGTCTTGGCGCCCTGCTCCTTTGCCCAGCACTTCGATGCCCGTAAGATTGGCACTTTCGGCTCCAAGGCCCAGCTGCGCTGGGACACCTTCGAGGGCCTCGACCGCTGCAACGGAATCAGCGCAGTAGGCTTCGAGTCCCTCCCAAATCTGCACTGTCCCTGGCACCTGTGGGAGTCCAACCGCCCGCGCTTGCGGGATGCCCTTGCCGAGCTCCGACACGCAGGGGTGCTGTCATTTCCGCCGGAGCTGTCTCAGGGCTGTTGGACTGGCTACGACGACCTGTTTTACTTGCCGTGGCCAGCTCTTCACACCTACGGAGTTCTCGCCGAGATCTTTGCACGGCACAATGTCCATCACGAGATAGCAGGGCCGACTGCCCTGGCCGTCGCGAGCCTGAATGGCCTTGAGATGCAGGACTTCGGTTGCAACCTCGGGGTTCTGACTCCTCTCACGTTGCGGGTGGTGACTGCGCCCGACTTCGTTTGTGGTCATGAGGTACATTACCAGGAAGACGGCATGGTGGAGGCTGTGGAAGCAGTCATCAAAGGAAACGCCACTCTCCTGCTCCAAGCCTTCGCGAATGAACAGCGAAGTTTCCTTCACATTCTCGACTGGGGTGTTTGGGGGGAGCTGCCTGCTATGTGCATCTTACTCGGGGCAGGGTTAGCTTTGTGTCTGTGTCCGGACACTCGTGATCGGGTCCTTTTCTCATACATTGTGTGCGCGATTTACGTGCTGATTTCAGTAGTCATCGACCTGTCCATGGCCGTTCAGTCCGTCCAGGCGCCCCATGAGGATTACAAATTCGAGCCCATGTGTGCGGTCCTGCTTACAGAGCTTCTGAAGCTCGTGGTTTCCCTTTGCCTAATCCTATATGCCCAATGCAGCCATTGCAGCACTCAGATGATGCCAAGCGCAGAAGACGTGGGGTGGCTCGTGCTGCCGGCAGTAATTTTCACCTTGAACAACATCTTGGTGTGGTGGGCCATCGGCAGCAATGATATCTCTACTTTCGGAGTCTTCCGGGACACCATGATCCTTTGGACAGCCTTTCTGTGGCGGATGGTCTTCGGAGTTCCCCTGGGGCCGACTCGCCTCCTGGCCATTGCTGTGCTGGTCTTCGGCCTGGCTCTGAACCAGCTCGAGAACTTGCTACAGAGTCGCTTCTCCTGGCCCCTGTTGCTGGTGCTGTTGATGACTGCTTGCAATGCTATGGGCTCGGTGGTGAACGAGTTCGCATTGAAGCGCCGGGACGGCCTGGACATCAATGTCCAGAATGCTATTCTGTACGCAGCAGCCATAGTGTTCACGGCTCTTCTGATCCTGGCTTCCGGGAGGGGCCTGGATCTTTACACCCATGGCGTCTTCCGAGGGTTCACACGACACACCATGTTCACAGTGATCCTGCAGGCCTTCGCGGGACTGGCTGTCTCCAGGATACTCAAATACTCGGATGCCGTGCAGAAGAATATCGCCGCATGCCTAAGAGGCCCGATTCTGGTTGTCATCTCGCCTGCTTTTGTCCGTTCCTCTGCGAGCATCCTTACCTTCTTCTCTGCCGCGATAGTCGCCTCAGGCTGCGCTATCTACTTACACCAGGGACCTGTAGGTGCCAACAATGGCATCAAGGACAAGAGCCGCGGTGCCTCTCATTGACAGGTCCTTTGTTGAACAGCGCTGCCCCGAAAAGCAAAAAGGCACCAAGCAAGCCATGAGAAAGTGATATAGTGTTGACATGAGTGGCTGTGAGCAGTTCGAGGCAAATTAGGGTGGCCACTCTCTCCATGCTGGTAGGTTTGTATGCAACCCCCACTAGATACAGTGGTGCACCCGACACGAGTTCTGTTGCAGCCCTCGATCTTAGCTTCTTCAGGCTTCTGCATTTCTGAAGGCCTTCGGTTTTCTGTCCAAACGCTTTCTGTTTATGCTGCAAGACCTTTCTGGATTTCCTGGCTGGTGTTGTCGTTGGCTTGCTAAGGCCACTAGTGTTCCTCTGGCTTGGTGTGGATGTCTTCTGGCCGGCGCCTTGTGATACGGGACTGCCTGTGCTGCACGGATGCAAGTGTTTCCCGCACAGGCATCGTGCTGCTACCGAGCCACGTGTGTAGCAATGGCACTGCTGCGAACGACCAACAGAGCCTCATCATTGCTGCAACTTGTGCCACCACAGTCGCCGTTGGCATTGGTGACGCCAGTACTTGATGTTGATCTTGCAAGTGTAGCAGTTTCGACGACTGCAAGCATATCTAGTGTGACCTAAAACATAATACAATACCAGCTGCCGATGCTGCTGCTCCTCCTCCTCCTGCTTCGACGACGACGACGACTACTACCGCTGCCGCTGAAACCCCCCCTCCTACTCCAATCCTACTCCTACTTCTACTCCTACTCCTACTACACCCCTTCTCCTGCTAGACCTGCTACTGCTCCTTCTGCTCCTACTTCTGCTATTCCCCTTGATCCTACTACTACTGCTGCTACTATTATTACGACTCTTACGCGTGTTGCAAGGGGCGAAATTTCACGACTGCTACTGCTACTGCTACTACTACTGCTACTGCTACTACTACTACTACTACTACTACTACTACTACTACTGCTACTGCTACTGCTACTGCTACTGCTACCTCTACTGCTACTACTACTACTACTACTACTACTACTACTGCTACTGCTACTGCTACTGCTACTGCAACTGCGACTCCTACTCCTACTACTACTACTACTACTACTACTACTACTACTACTACTACTAACTACTACTACTACTACTACTACTACTACTACTACTACTACTAGTAGTACTCCTACTGCTACTGCTACTGCTACTG